AATAAATGGTATTGCATTTATTCCCCATTGCTCCCTTCTTTTAACTACTGTGATTGAATAAACCCTTCAAAGATTTTCACATCTACTCCCTCAGATCATGAATGCAAGCTGTTATTTTACACCTACTTTCTGCTGCGATCTCCATAGTAACATAGGCGATAGTACCTCTCACCCCCGATGAGAGTTATTTACAAATCACTTAACTGCTGGTCTTAGAGGGATAATTTGGTTTAAAAAATACAACTATACTAACGGAATGTTCAGATACAGCTGAACCTTAAATCAGTTTCGTATTTCCATGTGCAAACAAAATGCTGGTAAGTATGGGTCTGTTATTTATTCTTTTGCTTTCTGTGATATATTGCTTTCTGTGAAGGGTCCTAGCATATGTATATCCCTTACTTGTAATGTAAGTATAAAATTCAACCAAAGGCCTGACAGCACCGCAATTCAAGGTGTTAGTACTAGCATATAATAGGGCTGCCATACGTCCTAATTTCCCCAGACATTCTTCTTCTTCTTTGGCGATCAGTCGTAGCCAAGTAAGATTGTCTTCCATGAACACAGTCTTAACAGTGAGTCTGTAAGTGACTGTGGAGGCCAATTCTGGATCCACACATCCTTCCACAGTTGGGCCATAGGTTTCCAGGCAGAAGTTGGTCACAGTGAGGGTTTGTCAAGTGTGCCTTCCTCTTAGCATGTTTCTTCTTTTCATCCTGAGTTTGAGTGTCTTCAAAGCCCATGACACCTTTGGTAAAGGCTGTTCTCCAATTGGAGCGCTCACAGACCAGTGTTTCCCAGTTGTCAGTATTTATACTACATTTTTTTTAGATTTGCCTTGAGAGTGTATTTGAGCCTCTTTTGTTGACCACCAGCAGTACGCTTTCCATTTTTAAGTTCGGAATAGAGTAGTTGCTTTGGAAGACGACACTCGGGAACCTGCACAACATGACCAGTCCAACAAAATTGATGTTGAAGAATCATTGCTTCGACACTGGTGATCTTTCCTTCTTCCAGTACACTGGCATTAGTTCGCCTGTCTTCCCAAGTGATGTGTAAAATTTTTCGGAGACACCATTGAGGGAATCTTTCGAGGAGTTTGAGATGGCGTTTATAAGTGGTCCATGTTTCACAAGCATACATTAAGGTTGGTAGTAAAATTACCGGGATCTGAAAGGCGGAATTTCAGGGTGTCCTAGTTTTGACTTTATGAAATATGGCAACCCTAGTGTATAATGCCCTAAGTGGCTTGGGACCCATGTGCCCAAAAGAGCATCTTCATCAGTATCAACCATCTCAAACCCTACAATAGGTAGTTGGACAGTTTAGGCTCTGGACTTAATGGTCTTATGCTCCAAATTCCACTTGAGATGCATTACTTCACTTACTTCAGAATATGATACTCCAGCCTTTGATATGTGGAAGTCCCTGTGCTCATTCTGCTATGCAAGACCCTGGAAGTCTGGGCCAAGACCCTCCATAGTTAAAACATTGGAATTAAAAAACCAGGATGCTTTCTTTCTTTCTTTCTTTTTGGCTTTGAAACCCTTTCACCACCTGACATTTCTTTGCCTAAGCTGTCTAGGTCCAAAGTTTTCTAAATACGAAGGAGTTGAGAATCACAGAAGCCTCAGCTCTCAATTCATTAGTATGCAGCGTATGTGTGAGAAAGAAGAAGGTGCAGAAACTATTGCTCAAAGTGTAAAAATGTGCTCTGGGAATTAGTGTCATCTTTCGAAACTGACAAATTGCTTGCTCTACGGAAAATTTAGACACTGGTGGTTTTCTTCACACAGGGCATGGCAAAGTGACAGGAAAAGGAGAGGGACTTTTTTAGGACAAAGTATGAATTCTGATTTGATTGCTGTGTGGCTGTAAAAGAACCGCTCTCAGGTGCCATTTTTAGCTGGAGTCTGGCGTCGGGGCAACAACAATATTTCTTGGCTATATACAGTATTCCATTTTGCATTACAGGGCATTTGTTCCATTACGTTAATAGTAGCTTAGCTTTTCCATTCCCTCCATTTACTAAAATACTCAATTTGATGGTGACATCTGGGACCCGAGAGAGAATGGCAGGCACACCGAGTGCAGTGTTCTTGCCGTGTTGGCAGCAAAGTGTGTCCCAGCAAAGTCACATTCATGCTTCACTGCAGCCTCTGGTTATTGTTTCGATATTTATTTCTAAAATTTCGAGATCGCCTTCCTACTTGATGCAGTTGCTTAAGGGCTGTAGTGCCAAAATAAAAATGGCAATTATTTGTTTATAAAGCATCACTGCTGCATAACACCTTACAGGGCAATGCAAATTAAAAATGAGGGGGTCCTGCTCTGAGAGCTTACAGTCCAAGGTTTGACAGTGGGTGAGTCAGGGAAGGGAAGGGGAGGAATGGGTAATAAGCAGAGCTTTTTCCCCCAGCTGGAACTTGCCAGAACTGAGGTGGGCACCATTGCCACTCTAAGAGAATGAGGGATGTGTTCATGGTGAGTTTCAACACCTCTTTTTCTGGAAAGATAGCATTGGTAATAAGGAATAGATGTGAGCAAACACAACTCATACTTCAGGCTTATTTCATTAGGCATGAGGTAGGAAATTACTAGGGATGCGGGTGGCACTGTGGGTTAAACCACAGAGCCTAGGACTTGCTGATCAGAAGGTCAGCGGTTCGAATCCCCGCGACGGAGTGAGCTCCCGTTACTCGGTCCCTGCTCCTGCCAACCTAGCAGTTCGAAAGCACGTCAAAGTGCAAGTAGATAAATAGGTACCACTCCGACGGGAAGGTTAATGGCATTTCTGTGTGCTGCGCTGGTTCACCAGAAGTGGCTTAGTCACGCTGGCCACATGACCCGGAAGCTGTACGCTGGCTCCCTTGGCCCATAAAGCGAGATGAGCACCGCAACCTGAGAGTCGGTCACGACTGGACCTAATGGTTAGGGGTCCCTTTACCTTTACCTTTACAGTACTAGGAAATCACTACAGCAATGGCTCTGAGGTGGGTTTGGGAGAGGGACTTGAAGAGAAGATCATGCAGGTCAGCTCCAAACGCTGTTGAACCACAACTCTCACCATTCCTCAGCACTGACAGTGCCCAGGATGGCTAAAACTGATGGAAGCTGGAAATCAACAACATTTGGAGTTCCACAGGTTCATTTCTCCTGGTGGGGGGCAAGTTAGGAGTGTGTTCTGGTACAAAGGGTGGCAAAAGAACATGAGGGAATTCATTTGATAGAAGGTGATAACTTGAGGTGGCTCAGGGTGATAGAACTGGAGGATCGACAGGTGGTCCAGGATATAGGAAGAAGACTTAAAAAAACAACAGCTAGGGATGGTTGAGGCATTGGGGAGATTTAATATGTGAGGGGAAGGACTCTGTGCTAGATGAAGAAAGAGAAGGAAAAAAATGTAAAGAAACTGAAGGTACATTTTTTCACCTTTGGTGGACATGCCCAAAGATTAAGGCTTTCTGGGAAATGATATATAATGAATTAAAAAAGGTATTTAAATATACCTTCCCCAAGAAACCAGAGGCCTTTCTCCTGGGCATAGTCGGCCAAATGGTGATAAAAAGGATAGAACTTTCTTTATGTATGCAACAACAGCAGCAAGAATACTCATTGCAAAGTATTGGAAGACACAAGAGCTTCCCACACTGGAGGAATGGCAGATGAAACTGATGGACTATATGGAACTGGCGGAAATGACTGGTAGAATCCGTGACCAGGGAGAAGAGTCGGTGGAGGAAGATTGGAAGAAATTCAAAGACTATCTGCTGAAACATTGCAAAATTAAAGAATGTTAGAGTGATGTTGGATTGAAAATAAGTGGCTTCCAGCTGTACAGGATTTAAAGTTATGGATAGATTAAGATTAAGGATTAGGATTAAAAAAGTTTAAGGAAATGGAAATTTGGTTTTTAAAAGGTAAAATTTTAATGTTATATTATATTAAGAGTAAAGATTGGGATTAAAAAAGAGGGAAAGAAATTGCTGGACAAACAATTTGAACTGGAATACAAAAGAGGGAGGTACGAGGAGGTCCAGAAAATAAGTAAATTTAAAAATGGAGATGAAAAGGTGATATTGTTTTTAATTGTTCTATTTTCTTTTTTGTCTTTTGTTTTTTTGTTCCTTTTTTTTCTTTTGGATTATGTATTGTGTATTTTTGAATTGTGTATTTCGTTTTTATGTTTTATGTTTAATCTTTTATTGAAACTTTAATTAAAAAAAAGAAGAAGAAAGAGAAGAAAAGCCAAAATATGGATTTAAGCAGTGCTTTTATGATCAGCATAAAATAGAAAGCAATCATGCAGTAACTGGCAGCATGATGGTAAGAATAGCAGCACTACAACAATTCCAATATCTACAAAAAAAACAAGGAGGTCAAAACCCAGCAGTTAAATAATAGTTTCAGCAATCCAAGGCAGCCATGGCGGTGTGGGGTAAAACACTAGTGCACAAAACCTGCTTTTAGAGATGGCCCCTTTGGGCCATTCCCAGTCACAGAACTGGGATCCCATGTGGGGCTGTTGAGATTAATATGTACTATCTTAAGCACCTCAGAGGACAGGTGAGGTATACATGTAATAAATAATTTGATTAGGCCTCTGGGAGTAGATCACATTGCCTGGAGACCCACTATTTATCCACGAGACAAACTTTCCCAAAAACTATCCAGAGCAGGGAAATGTAGATAAATGTGGAACACGTGCTGTTAGTCCTTTCTTGAGGTTGCAGGGTCTCAGGCTAAGGAAACCATGCACAAAATTACCTACGTCAGTACAGTGGTACCTTGGTTCTCAAATGCCTTGGTACTCAAACAACTTGGAACCCAAACACTGCAAACCCAGAAGTAAGTGTTCTGGTTTGTGAACTTGTTTTGGAAGCCGAACGTGCTCTGTTTTGAGTGCCACACTTCCGTTTTGAGTGTTACGCTGAGGTCTGTCTGTTTTCACTATTTATTTTGCCTTTTTGTTTATGTGGCTCTTTTTTTGTTTTGTTTTTGTGACTGTGTGGGACCCAGTTCAGCTACTGATTGATTGTGTGACTGCAGTACATTGTTTATTGCTTTCATTTTATAGATCAATGGTCTCGTTAGACAGTAAAATTCATGTTAAATTGCTGTTTTAGGGGTTGTTTTTAAAAGTCTGGAACGGATTAATCCATTTTGTATTACTTTCTATGGGAAGGCGCGCCTTGGTTTTGGAATGTTTTGGTTTTGGAACGGACTTCTGGAACGTATTAAGTTTGAGAACCAAGGTACCACTGTACTTCATCCAAATGAATCCAGCTTTCAGAAAAGGTCTGTCTGTCCATATGATGGGCGCACTGTTTCAGATTTACTTTTAACTACCTCATACATGCCCATGCGTATTTTTTATCTTCTTACAATGTCAATAACCAAATGTGGGATGGTATGCTCCCCCCCCCCGAGACACACAAAAGAAGAAAATAAATAAATATTATGGTAATGTGCTGTCTGTTCAGGAAAGGATATGATTACAGAGGTTCTGGGGGATATTTCGTGTTCCCCATGTATAATCTGAATTACTACCTGAATGGGTTGCTCTATTTGTAGAACATTAAATAATTTATTTAGGAAGCACAGTAATAGAGAATAGCGGCGAATCCCTAGAGGTGGGTGAATAATACATTAAAAATATTTTTATTCTGTTGGTGTGTGTGCACGTGTGTGTCCTTGTTTACTGGATTTCATACTGAGTAGCTAGATATGAGTCTGCACAGTACATCTTTCCATTTTTCTACAACCAAACAAATAAAAGCCACTGCCATGTATAAGTGGCGGGATTATGCCACTTCAGTTTCTGCATTACAAAAAAAGAGTCCTTAATGAAAAGGTTGCCTCTAGTATACCTCATCCTTGGAAAGTATCTAAAGAAAAAATAACCAAGCTCAAGCATAGAGAAACTTTTCAGAGCATCTGCTATAAACTATTGAAGGAAACGCTCTGGTAGGATTAAATAACTACCCGAACGGCAACCATGTTGAATGCTATGTGCCTCAGGTCAAAAAAGGTTCAAGAAGTCACCAGGTTTCAATGCTTCAGGGCATAAATTGATTGCTTTCTAGAATACCAAAGTATATATATTTTTTCACATCTAGGTATACAGCAGCGCAGAACTGAACAGATATATCAGATTGGCTTTGAAACACTGCCTATAGGCTAAAGAAGGGAAATGTTCGGCAGATTTCAGCTGCAGTCCTATACACACTTACCTAGAAGTAAGACCCACTGAACTCAAAGGGGCTTACCTCTAAGTAGACCAGTGGAAGCAAATGGGATACTGACAGTAGCAGATGACATGGTGATGCTCATCTGTTCTCGTTCTGTCCGCACTGCTGATACATACTGAGAAGAAGATGGGGAAGCTGGTATGATACAAATGTGCTGGCAGAAGTGATGGAGGTCAAGTAAATAGTGCCTTTCTTTAAGTATTAAAATAGTTAAGGATTCAGGAGACTTTAAAAGGCAGGAAAAGAAAAAGCCTGCTGTTTTGAAACCACCAACAGAGTGAGGGACCAAAGCGAGACATCCGGCTACCTTTCAATATCTATCGCCGCATGGCACATACAGGTGTTTTCATTTGTTGCATTACGTGTAGCTAAATTTGTATTATTGGGTCTATTAGAAGTCCAGTGTGGATATGATTTGTAATAACAAGGCACAGGTGTTCTTTTTAAATTCCCACCCCACTTGTTGCTTGACAACACGTTTCACTTCAGCTGTTTTTTGTTATGGCTGCAGGCAGCCAACTGCTAGGAAGTAAGCATGAAAAGTGTTCCCTCAGATTTTAGGATTCAAAAAGCCAGCGGAGGAAAGTGAAGGTGAAGATATCGCATCCCTTACATAACAAATAAATAATTACTTACAATCTGTTTCCTCCTTTCTTTGCATGTTATGAAGGCAGCAAACTGACCGTGCAACAAGACAAGCACACTTGCCAGTTCTACCACTTTCCCCGATAAACTGCGAGACTTAACTGCATAAATGAGAGACACATTCAGTGAACTCCCCTGATTTGATCTCAGTTTTGGGTCAAAGCTTGATACAGGAAAGATCATTTCAACGAGAATAACACTAGTATTATATTAGCGGAGCAGACACAATCTTTCCCTCTGGCCAGTGCTCTGGGAGTAGCGCTGACAAAAGGAGATTGGTACAATTGACTTAGATTTACAATGGGCTACACAAGATACTACCAGGAGTTATGGATAGCTGGGGTTTGAATAATAGGTGTTCTACTTGCTAAGTTACCCCATCAGTCATAACAAAGAAAGAGAAAGAGAGAGAGAGGGAGAGATTGCCATCATATCGCTGTATCAATTCTCATTTATTTACTTCTTTGTGCCAACTAAGCAAGCCAACACACACTGAGAAGGTTAAATTTCCCCAGAAGCCTGCCTGGTAACAGAACAAAAAATGACCTGTGTTTCTTCTTTATGTTGGCTGAAACCGACGAGACAAAAAGATCAGGAGCTGTCATGGGATTGGGAAAGAGCTTTCACCATTATTCATTACTTGCTTGTCAGCAAGTCAAAGATGCTTCTGGAATCCTGCAGGGGAAGAGCAACTGTGGGGCAGAGGAGGGGATCTGGTGGAGAAACAAGAGGGGGGTGGTGCGATTTGCAGTGGAGAATTGACAAGTGGGGAAAGAAAAAGTGCCATGCAGGGGCGCCACATATGGGGGGCTCTGGGTGCCTGTGCACCTACAAAGCTTTTGTTGTGGGTGCTCGGCACCCTCACCACATGTGGCGATCACACAGGGTCCGTCTATTGATCCCGGTGCCACCACTTTATTTCTCCTTGCCACCACCCAGGCCCTACCTGGTACAATACTGAGTCCAGTCAGGGTTAAATTGGAACATAAACTTCTGTTTATTTATTGCAGTTTAACAAGCATGTGGTTTCATAAACGGTATTGGTCCATTACAGTCATGGGGTGCCTATCCAGACCTATAACTTCCGCTACCTGCTCTCACTCACTAAACCACCTCTCAGATATTTACCGTATTTTTCGCTCTATAAAATGCACCAGACCATAAGACGCACCCAGTTTTTGGAGGAGGAAAAGAAGAAAAAAAGTATTCTGAATCCCAGAAGCCAGAACAGCAAGAGCGATCGCTGTGCAGTGAAAGCAGCGATCCCTCTTGCTGTTCTGGCTTCTGGGATAGCTGCACAGCCTGCACTCGCTCCATAAGACGCACACACATTTCCCCTTACTTTTTAGGAGGGAAAAAGTGAGTCTTATAGAGCAAAAAATATGGTACTTGTCTTCCTAGCTCCTAACTGTTCCTGACTCAGCTTATTTCACTACACTAACTCAACCTACCCACAGACTCTATCCCAATTCACTCCCACTCCAACCAACCACTCAACTCCCAACGAACTCCTCCCTTCGCCCCTCCCAGAGCTGGTTTTATAGTCCCTCTGACTCCACCCCCTGGGTTCTGATTGGGTAACCTGTTTAACTATTTCACCTCCAGCACTCTCATATGTTAACGTCACCCCACAGGGCCCCCTTGCAATTTCCGAGGTCTTGCACGGCCTCGGAGATGCTTTCTGAAGCCTTCTGAGACCTCAGAACCTGATGTCTGAGACGTCATGGGAGGTCAAAAACCATCTACAAGGCCTCACAAGGCCTCAGATAAACTTTTCAAGGTCTCATGAGGTCTCAGAACCTGACTTCTGTTGCTACCATAAGTCAGGTTCCAAGGCCGGGAGTGGGGGAGAGTGTGTGATGTCATGACCCATAAACTAGGGCCCAAGTTGGATCCTTTGGTGCCCCAACACTCCCCTGGTCCTTTTCCCTCCACCAATTACATATCAACGTATCCTAGCAAATTTGATAGGACCCATACTATGATTTCCAAGTCAAGGGCCAACTTGAAAGACAACGATTTGTTCTGAAATAATAAAAGATTTTTTTTTTTTAAGGACTTTATACGTTTCAGCTTTCAAATCAAATCAGAAAGCAGGATCGAATCAGAAACTGGGGTGGCTTCTCTAAATCAGGGACATCCCTGGAAAACAGGAACACTTGGAAGGTCTGCTGTGGGCAGGACTTTTTTTTCAGCCAGAACTCACCAGAACTCAGTTCCAGCAGCCCTCGGGTGGGCACCATTGCCATTATAAGATAATAATAATAATAATAATAATAATAATAATAATAATAATAATTTTCCCCAGCCACCCTGGGTGGCTTCCAACAAAGATGAAAAATACATTAAAATGCCACATAATAAAAACTTTTCTAAACAGGGCTGCCTTCAGATGTCTTCTAAATGTTAGGTAGTAGTTTATCTCTTTGACATCTGATGAGAGGGCATTCCACAGGGTGGGAGCCACTACCGAGAAGGCCCTCTGCCTGGTTCCCTTTGGTTCCCTGCCATTGCTTCTCACAATGAGGGAACTGCCAGAAGGCCCTCAGCGCTGCACTTCAGTGTCTGGGCAGAACGATGGGGGTGGAGATGCTCCTTCAGGTATACTGAGAAGAAGGGATGTGTTCATGGTGGGTTCCAGCACCTCTTTTTCTAGGAAAATAGCACTGATTGCGGGTATATGTGAAATTGCATATCATGGGGAACCCCATCTAAAAAGCCTATGGACACACTCTGAACCTGTGGAAACCCTCTAAAAAACCCTTAAAGAACCTTACAAACCTCCTTTCTCACACTCCAACTCTCCACAAAGGCTCAGAGGATTGCAGTTGCAAAGGCTTCTGGGATTGCTAGGCATTTCCCTGCATTTGGGGGGTCATTTTTCCCCTTTTTGGAATTTAAACCAATTTATTTAATTCTGGCATATACGCGTCTGTGCGCAAGTAGGGAGTTTTGAAGCAGTGCTGCCGGGCATGTTGGTTTGTGTGGGCATGAAGCAGGCATGCAGAGAATCTACGTGTGTTATTTAATTCCAAATCAAATAATGAAATAAAAAATAGCATTTGAGTCCATGTGACTTGTTTTTTTAAAATGAAAAAGCGTGCTCTCCTTCATGGAGAGCACGTGTTGCGGTGGGGGCTGACAGGACACTCCAAAGTTGTGGGGCGGGCTAATTGATCGTTGGCCACTGATGTGATTGGGCTTCCCTTGTTGTTGGGAAGAAGTTAATGTTGCCATTTGTTGATTGACAGCCAGAAATACTAAAACTCCCTGCACGAGGCGTAGAGCTTCCTCTTTTTGCCCGTGCATCGGATTGCCCGTCCCCCCTCCCTAGAATTAGGGTTGTTCGCTTTGACCTTGCTATGCCTGTCATGGGGTCGTCTGCTCTTGGGGCAGGGGCCCGGTAGGAATTCTGTCCATCTGGCTGATTGGCTGGGGCCATTTGGTTTTTGCCTACTGCGTAGCAAATCGTCACAACTTGTAAGGCTGCGGTTAGGCATTGGTTTATGGTTTGGTTGGTTGAGGGGCATGGATTGGCTGTGCCTGCCCCTCTAATGCTGCTGCTGCAAGGGATTCCGTTAAAGGAATACAGGGGCTCACTATTGCTTTTGTCCGCCCTGTCAAGGGGGCTCGGGCCATGCAAGAGCCCCTGGCTGCATTTGGGGAGGGCTGAGGGCAGCTTCCCTGCTCTGTCGCTACCCCCAAGTGTATTCCCCTTTTCTGACTTTCGCAGGCATGCGGAATGTCAGTCTGTCCCCTATGGGGGGGGCAGATAGTCGCAACCAATGCCTAAGCAACCACTCACATTTTTGTATTTTAATAAAGTTGTGGCCAAAATTATGCCAAAAACCTTAAACAAAATTTCTGTGTGATGTGTGAGTTATTGGGGTGGCCCTGGGGACCTCGACACGGAAGTTGGTTTGGAAAGGTGGAAAGCACCAGGAGAAGGATACAGCGCTTCCTTTTTACCCCTTTTTGCCGTACCTCTTCTCCAATTCCACCCTCTCTATGGCAGCTTTCCCCCTGCGGGGTCCAAAAGCACATTTGCCCATTGTCAAATAGTTCACCAGCATTTATTTGTTGTCAAATACTTCCCCAGCCTTTGTATGACTTATGGTTCTGTTAATAGAAACATTGTTAAAATAATGGTCAGGAATGATTTATTCCTTTCTTAAAGCTTTCCCATGTCCAGGTTTCTTTTGTAATAGATGAATAAAGTTTTAAACTAGTGGGGGGGGGATCCTGGAAAGGTTATGGCTTGATAAATAAGTTTGATACCCACTATGGTTTGTATGGGAAGGTCTTTTGTTATAGATTAGATGGTGAAAAGGGTTTTTAAAAGGATAGGCAAAATGCACCCTTCATTTTAGAAGGAATAACTCTAAAGGCAAGGTGAACAAGTTGGTTTTTGTAATAAATATTATATATTGTGTGTACATAGTGCTGAGTGCATTGTATGAAATGGCAATGGGAGCGATTGCGCCTGACTATTCCCAGCTACAAATCACAGCTTTGCCCATCCAGGAGAAGCTCTTTCCCAGGCAGTGCAAAGCTGTCATTTACAGCCAGAGATTGCGCAGCCTTGCAGGCCCCGTGACCCTTTGCAGTAAATAGAAGCCTCCATTATCCCTGGCCTCAAATGACAGGATCAGTGCTGGTGGAGGCTTCCCGGGGCCATGTGAAGCTGTCATTTGCAAAAGTTTAACAGGGATGGACTTCAAGAAATGATGAGATTGTGGGGGGGGGAGGGGAAGTGCAAATGGGTGGGCTTTCAAACTCAGATTGTCTTGTATATTAGGCAAGCCATTTCCCAACTTTCTAAATAATAATAATAATAATAATAATAATATAATTTATTTATACCCCACCCATCTGGCTGGGTTTCCCCAGCCACTCTGGGCGGCTTCCAATAGAATATTAAAAATATGATAAAACATCAAACATTAAAAACTTCCCTAAACAGGGCTGCCTTCAGATGTCTTCTAAAAGTCAGATAGTTGTTTATTTCCTTGACATCTGATGGGAGGGCATTCCACAGGGCGGGCACCACCACTGAGAAGGCCTCTGCCTGGTTTCCTGTAACCTCACTTCTCACAGAAGACCCTCGGAGCTGGACCTCAGTGCCCGGGCTGAATGATGGGTGGAGATGCTCCTTCAGGTATACTGGGCTGAGGCCATTTAGGGCTTTAAAGGTCAGCACCAACACTTTGAATTGTGCTCAGAAACATACATTTCTGGGAAACTGATGCCCTTATTGAAGAGTTAGTCTGATGGGTTGCTCACCCATCTTAAGGTAAAAAGTTTGCCATCTCCTGAGCTAAGAAAAGAGTTTTAAAATAGGACATAGGCTTATTAAACATACACTATTGTGCGTTGAGGTCCCCAAGACACCCCTCAATAAAACACAAGTGACACATGATTTTAGTTTAAGGTTTTTGGCATAATTTTGGCCGCAACTTTATTAAAATGACAAGCAATGTGAGTGGTTGCTTAGGCATTGGTTGCAACTATCTGACCCCGCACAGGGACAGACTGACATTCGCATGCCCACAAAGTCAGAAAGGGAAAACATTTTGGGGAGAGAGATGGAACTGGGTACTATGCCTCACCTCTCCCCAAATGCTCCCAGGGGCTCTTGCATGGCCCTAGCCCCTTGACATGGCGATCCCTTGGGTTCCTTTAACAGAAAACCCTTGCAGCAGCAGCATTTTGGAAAAGCAGGCACAGCCAATCTATACCCCTCCACCAACCAATTTCTAAAACAATGCCTAACTGCAACCTTACAAGTTGCGACGATTTGCTACGCAGTAGGCAAAAACCAAATCGCACCAGCCAATCAGCCAAATGGACAAAATTCCTACCGGGCCCCTGCCCCAAAAGCAGACGACCCCATTACAGGCATAGCAAGGTCAAGGGATCAACCTAAAAATATTGAGGGAGGGAGGGTGATCTGATGCGCGCAGCGAAAAGAGGAAGCTCAGTGCTGCGCGCAGGGTATTTAAAGGCTATGGCTGTCAATCACGAAATGGCAACATATAAATCTCCCCAGCAACAGGTAACTCAATGATAATGATGGCCAAACTCTTTTCCCGCCCAGCAACAGTGGGTGTCTCTCTAGTCCCCACCGCAACATGTGCTCTCCATGAAGGAGAACACGCTTTGTTTCATAGACAACCTTCCTTGCCTGCTACATCTCACCCAGTCTGTGGCACTGAAGTTCATGCATTTTCATTAGGTCTGGGTCAGACTGCCTTTTGCCTCTTTTTTCTCTCTTTTTTCTTCTTCCCTCTCTCCACGTTGCCAAGAAATATTGCTATCTGAGAGAGAGGCCAAGGAAAATCACATTCGAGATGGTTGTGCAAAAAGCAAAGTAGCAATCCTGTTACTATGGCTCTGAGGAGAACGCCAAATATCACACACACTGCTCTGAGAAAGGAGGATTATAAATTCCTTCAGCTGCCTTGGAATAAGCTCTCCAGTGTTACATTTTTCAATCGCTTCAGCCACAGCTGTAAGTAGGAACTTCCCCATTTATAAAAGACCATCCTAAAGCAAAGCTCCCAAGCTTTTGATTTATTTCACTTGTAAATAAAAGGTCACATGTAGAATATGGAGGCGATTCAGGAATCGCGGCTTCCAGGGGAACCGTCATGGCTAAAAACATAAATATCTGTTCCGCCCCTTTAAATAGGGACAAGAGGGGGCATAAATCTGTAGAAAAGCTGGTGAATACCAATGAGACAAAAGTGCATCTAATGAATCAGTTGGTCGAATATAAATAGTGTTGCCCACAGTTCATTCACAGCTTTGAAACTGTTGAACAATAATAGAATTTTGAGAGATGACAAGTCTCCCCTCCTCCTTGAAGCAATGTGATATGTGGCCTTGCTTTGGAGCCATGTGACAGTATTGCTTATGCTTTAGCACGACTGGCTTCCAGCATATTTCACTGCATCCATAATTCAGTTTCCAGGCTGCAATATA